ATATCATTTTCACTGATTTACTATCAACACTTAGGCCCACTTATCAATGAACTTCCCAAAAATCACATTCAGTTCATCACTCCTTAGTTTATCCCCCTCAATTTCTCAGGTAGTCAACAAGGTAATAGTAGCATACAAAGCCTACTTAGTCCATTACCCATTCTAATATGTGTCTCCAAATTCATTACTTGTTCTTCAATGTATGCACACATAACCCTTAATTCCACTTTAAAACATGAAATCATTCTCCACTTTGGCTAACATCTTGTGTTTGTGCATTCTATTTCAAGACTGGACAATAAATAGTGATAAGCACAGATCTTTCTTATTCTTTTTTGTTGATAAAAGGGAGAGAATCACAACACTTTCTTACTGGGTTCATTAGCAAAGAAACTACATATGCAGGAGCCAACCTAAGTCCGTCTATTCATCTTTCTTGAATCCATTAGCAAAGAAACTACATATGCAGGAGCCAACCTAAGTCCGTCTATTCATCTTTCTTGAATCCATTAGCAAAGAAACTACATATGCAGGAGCCAACCTAAGACCGTCTATTCATCTTTCTTGAATTCATTAGCAAAGGAACTACATATGCAGGAGCCAACCTAACTCCGTCTATTCATTTTCTTGAATTCATTAGCAAAGAAACTACATATGCAGGAGCCAACCTAAATCCGTCTAATCACCTTTCTTACCATAAATAGATAAACCCACAAAAATCAAACCTTCTAAACCAGGAGCAGCCTTTACATGTTGCAATTATTATACAGAAAAACCAATAACGACAATCAAGCAAATAGCATGTCACCAATCCCCATGACACAAAAAAAAATTGTCTAATTAAATTAGGGACCTTTTCCAGGACTATACCGCATATCTACTAAGCAGAAGCAATCAAGTCCTCCGTGTATCAAAATCGGAATATAGATGGGGATAATTAATATTACCGTAGCTTGTTAGGGTTTGCTCGTCCTTTAAGATCCGGCCTTTATAGATCAATCTCTGCTGCTCGGCAGGAATGTCGGAGTGCTGAGCAAGGGTGGACTTGAAGGATCCAACACTTGAGTCTAGAGCCACCTGAACGGTAAATTTGGAGCCGTTGGAACATCGGACATTGATTGTAACTTTTTGATCGCCGGTGGCGTTATTCTCGTTATCCTCTTTTGCCGCCGCAGCACTAGTATCACCGCCGCCCATACTCAAAACCCTCCCCTTCAACAATTCGGGAGGCCTGTTGACTAATCAATGGCGAACTGAAACCTGAGATGAAAAGTGATGAAATCGAAATCGCCGATTAATCGGAAACGGGAAAATGAAGAAGAAGCCCTAATTCAGATGATTTCACGATTTCAGGGCGAAACTGGTGAAGCGAAGATAATAAAGAAAAGTAAATGACAGAGACTCTTTTATTGCGTTTTATTATATTTGTGAAAATAAAAACCAATTTATACTCCTACTCCAGATACCAAATCACCAAAAATGTATAATTCAGTGTATTTCTGCAGTTCACTTTTGTTTATTTATTGTATATTAACTTTTTATTTTATTTATAAAAATATATTTCTTTAGTTCATTTTTATTTATTCACTATATTAAAAATAGTTATCCAATAATATTTGTATCTATTTTATCTTTGGTATTAAATACTACTTCATTATTAAGTATTTATTTTTAAATTATTTCTCAAAATTAATAATACTTACCAATTAATATAAATTTATACAAATGGACAAATAAAAATAAAACATACTCCATCTGTCCCTAATTACTTATCCACTTTTGAATTGGCACACCCATTAAAAATCAATTAATGACATAGTGAGTTTATCATTCTACTCCTATTAATAATGAAGTGGATGAAAAATTCTGCATTTTTCAAAGTAATTAGTCATTTAATTGAGGGTATAATAGGTAAAAAAAAATTGTCCTTTCTTGATTTGTCAAAATGGACAAATAATTAGGGACAATTATAAAAGGAAACGTAGACAAGTAATTAGGGACAGAGGGAGTAAAAATTTAAGTAAAAAAGATATATTTAGTAATTTTAAATTAAAAATATGTGTAATGTATTACTTTCTCCGTCCAATCGTAGTTGTCCACTATATTATTTTGGGATGTCCAACAATACTTGTCTACTTTATGAAATCAATAGATAATTTTACCCTTAGTATATAATTTACCGTTATTATTAATTATAGTCATTTCCTTATTACATTTTTCAAAATATTGTATTTATTATATTCAAAGTGTGATATAGTAAAATTACCCTTCTATTAATAGTATCTCAAGAAGTGTGCAAAGTCAATAACGACAGAACAACTATTGCTGGACAGGGGAGTAAATTTTTTTAAAATTTTATAATTTTAAATATGTGATATGAGATGTAATTATTTAGAATATGACATTTTGTTTACAGAGATTTTATTTTTATTTTTTTAAAAAAAAACATAGAAGTAATAAAACAAACCAATAAGAATCGAAGGTGCCTTGAAGTCGGAGAAACTAGAAAACAACGATATTAAGGAATGGTGGGGTTCCACCGGCATGGAGGGTACTGCAATATGGTTATTGGTTGGTGGGTGAAGTGAACATAAATATTGTCTAATTGTCTCTTCTTTTTTTTTCTTCAAAACTATGCAACATATTCTAGTTCTTGTTGCATGAGCAATATTAGAGTTAGGAGTTAAAAGGGCAATTTTTTTTCTTTAAAAAACATAAATAGCATATCAATTTTTTTTAATCAAAAGGGTAAAATTGCTTTTGATATTTTTCGAAAAAAATTGACTCCGTCTACTCCGTTAAAATAAACAAAAATCTCTGCCCCAACAGTGATTTTGTCGATTTTTTTCTCTTAAAATCGCTGCCTTAGCAGCACATTTGTCAAAAAAAAAATTAAAATCGCTACACCGGCAGCGATTTTGTCAATTTTTTTATTTTTAAATGGCTGCTTGAGCAGCTTTTAAAAATAAAAAATAAAATATGCAGCGATTATCTTTTATTTTTTTTATTGTTCTTTTTAAATTTTTTCCAAAACTTCTTTTAAAAAAATTAAAGACACTTTGGAATAAAAAAGGTTTTGGAAAACTTTGAAAAAATGTTTTGGAAAAAAACCCTGCTCAACAGCTATTTAAAAAAAGTATATAAAATTTAAATAAAATCGCTGCTTTGCAGCAACTTTAATTTAACTTATTTTATATAATATAAAAAAGAAAGAAACGCTGCTCAAACAGCGATTTATTTATTTTATTTTTAAAAAAAAGACAAAATCGTTGCCGGTGCAGTGATTTTTCTTTTAAATTTTTTTGACAAATTCGCTGCCACATTTTAACAGAGCAGACAGAGTTAATTTTCTCCGAAGGATATCGCTCCCCCAGGAGCGATTTTGTCCTTTTGGTTTTAAAAAAAATTGATATGTTATTTATGTTTTTTGGAGGAAAAAAGTTATCCTTTTGGCATCGGACTCAACAAATTACTCGCTTGATCAATGTTTAAATGATATTATTCTTTCTATTTTATCTAAAAATTACTAGTCTTGAAAATATGTAAATTGGTCAAATAAATTAATTCATGTTTATTAATTAGAAACTTGACTTTAATAGAAAACTAAATAAGGATGTAATGATAAACTTACATATATTCTTAAAGGACATGAAATCTAAAACAGTGACAATTAAATAGGAAGGGAGTGAGTAGTATACATTACTTTACAAAGAAGATATAGGATTTATGTGTCTCCACCTTTATTAAAAATACGATTTTATATAAGAGAGATATGAAAATTGAGAAAAGGGTGTCACATAATATCACTTTATCGATTTGATATAATGAACAAACTGGCTTTGCTTGACAAAGACTGCCTCTTGGTGTGTTGGATCGTCCAATTATGTTCTGAGTTTGGATATTCAAGCCTCAATCTAGACATATTTTGGGAAATTTTTTGAATGCTAGATGCTGGTCTTTAAAAATTCAATTCAATGACAAATAGTTTTTGTGTTTATATATATATATATTGATTTTGTTTTAACTTCCTCAAAATTGTTATTAAATATATAATTTTATATTTCATTCGTCCAACAATAATTCTCTACTATACTATTTTAAGATGTCCAACAATACTTATCTGTATCATTAATTATAATCATTTTTCTATTACATTTTTTAAAACATTGTATCTATTGTATTTTTTTATATATTTTTTTGGTAATTGAACTTGTATTAATCACCACAGTAAAGAAAATTTACAAAGATGAGGTCCCACAGTCAAACAAACTCATAAAACATCAAGCTATAGCTAAACTATCCAACTATGTGATGGGTTTAAAATAGTTATTTTGGACTAAGATTATGATTTCAGTGGTGGCTCTTACGTTGCACATATACACCACTTTCTTTGCTATGTCTTCCCGACATCTAGTTTTCTTCTCAAATATCTTTTTATTTCTTTTTATCCAGACAATAAATGAATTCAGCTAGGAACATTTCAAAAATTTAAGCAGACCGAAATCTTCTTTATGAGTTGCTAATAATATTAGTCAATGAATTGGTCCCTAGTGTCTCTTATCAATTCCTCCTTGTGTAACCATTTGAGGAGTCTTAACCAGATGTTTTTGGTAAAAGAGCATTCCAAAAGAGATGATTTCTGGACTCATTATCGTATTGACAAATGATACATTTAGCTTTCATGATGAGTCTCCATTTGATCAATCTATATGTCGTGTGTAGTTTCCCTTGTAACATCAATCAAACTGTGAAATTTGCTTTTGGTCTGGCTCCGTTTCTAAATACTTAAATTGCGTGACAAATTTATTTCCTTTTAAATAACTTCTCTAAAAATGTTACTTGATGAAACTTTAAACAAATATTAAAATAAAGTCATGTAACCATTTTTGAATACTCAAATATTTTTTTACTCAGTATATTTGAACAAAAACACACACACAAAAAAGAAACTGGATAAAAAAAATTAATCTTTTTTTTTTATGTGAGATTTAGGCATAAATTTGAAACCCACAAATCGAAGGTGACCAAAAGCTTGCTTATATTAACCCAATTTTTGGATTGTAAGAGCGTGTGACCTAAATGGCTAAATCAAAGCCGCAAACATTGTTGTCACCAGACATGAAAGAGGCGCCTTTTTGTTGATCCCGCTCTCAAACGGCAACCATGTTTCTTTAAATTATAAATAAAATTGATGGCGGCGCTAGCCCAACAAACCAAACCCAATTTCTTGCTGTCGCGCTTTAAAGCCTTTCTTGTCTTTCAGGTGCTAACTTGATTATCTTGTTCTTGTGATACAGTCTAATGTTATTTCGTTCAGGCAAATTGTCGAACAGTTTATAACAATTTTCTTGAATTTCCGTGTTCTAGAAATTTAATCACAACACGTATTCTAAAGACAAACATCGGGAACAGCACTCTGCTAATATGGGTTCTGGGTCTGTGGTTGATGCTGGTAAACACTGATTCTTCCTTGTTATTTTTCTTTAGTTATTCTTTCTTGGTTCTTGGTGCAGTCTCTATTGCCAAGTGGATTCTTTGAAGAATTTAAAAAAAAGAAGAAGCATGATGTGTTAGTATTAAACATTATAATGTTTTTCAACAAGAATTTGCCATGAATTCCATAAATCAGTATTAACAAGAACGTGCCTCTGTTAAGTCCAGTGTCATAATGTTCTACACACATAAAGAGAAGGTGTTTCTGCTCCATTGCGTGTTCAGGAGTGGCAATGGTTTGCAGGTCAGATGAGTGGATTTTATGTGATTAGTAGTAACACTATAATTTGTGATGATGATGATGATGCAGGTGAAATTGACTTCTCAAAGTGGAGGAAGCTTTACTCAAGGGACTTTGGGATAAGTAACTCCTTGATACCAGCATATGCATGGACGGTTCTGAAGAGTCTCCAAAGTGGAGGTGATACTTACATATGATGCTTTGTTGTTTATCCGGATTTCTCAGTTAAAGATAGTCACTATCTAAGCTCCCAATAAATTGTAGTTTGCTTGGATGAAGAGCCACACAATAAGATACTAGTTTAAGCACATTTTCCTTGGTTGTATTTGACCCTTGTCTTGGCACTACTTAGTTTGCATGCGTGTTCATATTTAGATATCTCACTGCGTGAAGGTTAGCCTTTGACCAAAAGTTGCAATATGCAGGGTTTGAAGCTTACTTGGTTGGTGGATGTGTCAGAGATCTAATTCTCAATAAAATACCAAAAGATTTTGATGTTATCACAACTGCAAGGCTTCCGCAGGTCCAAGATACATTCAAATAGTATCCTAATAACGAGCCAGTTATGTTTGGTTTCAACTACTCGTCCCCATGATTCAATATTTATGTCGGTCTGTTCTATTTGTCATAGATAAAAAGGCGTTTTCATCGTGCAATAATTGTTGGACGACGGTTTCCAATATGTAGAGTACATGTCAATGGTTCTATTGTGGAGGTTGGTGCAGCTTTATGCTATAGATCTGTTGCACATTCTATACTTGTATGTCTGTACATGGTCTATTTCACATTTGTATACTTATCTTTTGTTATAAGTAGGTAATTGCTGTAAAATGAAAGTCACTAAAGTGCTTTGAGAAGTGAGAAGTGGTTTAGTCTTGCTGTTCAAATTTATTTGTAAATTTATCATTTTCTAAATTTTTTAATTTTTTTTAACTTGTTATTTGTAAATTTATCATTTTGATCAAAATTATTCATTGTTTAAGAAACGGAGAACATTCATTGAAGAACTTCCATTGGTGTCTTACCTCCCTTTGAACTTATATTGGACAGACAATATATCTGAAGTCTTTTTCTCCTAGATGGCAACATATATTGGTTATCATATTTCACACACTATACAACTTTAAGTAGTGAAGAATTTGGGTTTCCGTCTCTCAGGTATCAAGTTTTGATACTAGGGCAAAACCAACCGGAGCAAGTGAGAAACTTTCTGTTCCTAAAATGCCAAAGAAATTTCATCAGAAGGATTTCATTCTCTGGAAGGATTCCATGCACCGAGACTTCACTGTTAACAGGTATCTCTCTACTTTTTGTTCCATTAAGAAAATGGAGCTAAATCTGATTTCTATTCTGTAAATTATTCCCTGGGAAAGGGAGATCTGGAAGGCTTCGTAGGTTGTTCAATTCTACTGGTGGACTCGATTTTGTCTTGGTTCCAATGCCCGGTCTGCTTCCTCTTACCACCAACCCAAAATGAATATCTATGTAGGCAGCCATAGCGCAAAGAAAAGCTGAAAAATTGGAACTCATAACAAAATTGTTGTTTTAATCATACATTAACATTTTATTTGAGTAATTGCATTTATCTATGCTCAGAAGATAATGGAAAAGATAGTAATTATAGAACTATAGGAGATAGTGGGCAAAGGTCTTGATAGAAAAATGGAGGAATGCTGTGTGGTGACAGACATGTAGAGGTAGGATCTATGCTGTGCACTGCCATGCTTGATTTATCCATTTTGTGGTCCTCAACTAATATCTAGAAACCTATTATGGTGCTTATTTGCAATGTAGAATCATAACCTTATTTAGTAACAGAGACAAGGTATAAAACGAGAAGTTTACTAGTGCTGTGGTAGTGCAACAATGTCCTTGTGTTTTCCATTTTGTGGGATCCTTGGGAGGTACTGCTACAATGTCTCGTGTTTGATTTCCTATGTGGGGTCCATGATGACGTCATAAACGCACCTGAATACCTACTTTTGGATGAATCATCAAGCTTTATCAACATCCTTTTGGATGAGAAAAGTGATTGAGATCGGAAAGCATTGCCATGCCTTGAGCTTTGATTAAGAAGTTGGAACATGGAGTTGCTGTTGGATACTCCAAGGTGGGAAGTAGAAGTATGAGAAATTGTTGGCGTGATAACTGATAAGTGGCTTCATTATAGGTACAGCTAGGCAAATTGTTTCTTGTAGCTATACAAGATCACTGGTTCACTTGATTCTGTCAGTTTGATCTTATCATTTAGAACAGGGTGTAATATAAAAGATGAAGAACTGAAGATGGCCTTGGGCAGTGTTGTTCTGAAATCGAGTATTTTTTTTTTTTTTTTTAACTTGGTAACTTTGAAACCAAGTATGTTGTTGATCTGGTTTTGATTTTGGAAACCAATGCGTTTTGAGTTTTGTTTTAGGGAACATTTGCATTTTACAAAAAAAGCTAAAAACATAATAGAGTAAAATTTCCTAAAATCTTCATTTGCTACAAAAATTTATTTTTGAACAGCCAAAATAATATAAAAAGAAGCAGTTTTAAAAAACAAAATATGTCGCAAGGAAAAAAGAGCTTGATTCTTATCAGAAAGCAATGTAGATTTTTGTTGGAAAATTGTTTTAGTTTCCAGGACTGGTTAGAACCTCTCCGCTAATCCTTATCCCGATTGAACTATGAGGATCAATAATATTGGGGAGACTATTTGCATGTTAATCATTTTCTCTTGAAGAACCTCTCCACAGTTCTCTATTCTGGTGGAAAGCAACACATTTGTATTACAGTCTATACATGCTTGTCTGCAGTTCAAAAAGTCTATTTTTTTTCCTGTTTATAGATGTTCTTTACCTTTTAGGTGATTGATTGGATCTCTTAATTTTTTTGGATACGTCATGCTAGTTCACTCATTTTGTGCGTTATGAAATTGTGGAAACAGTTCATTGTGGTGTTAGTAACTCATTTTTGTGTTTGTAAAATTGTGGAAACAGTTTGTTTTTTGATCCGTCCGTGAATACAATCTATGATTATGCCGATGCAATAGTGGACTTAAAATCTTTACAGGTGAAATTATTTTACTTCAAATATGTGAAGGTCTCATTTTGATGTGTTTTGGAATTTACAAAGTCTTTTGTCATATTTGTGCAGTTAAGGACTTTGGTACCAGCACAATTGTCATTTGAAGAGGATTGTGGTAGGTGCAACTATTTTAGAGATGTGCCTTGACTTGAGAATTAGAACTACAATTCATGCATTGTACATTGGTATTGATCCTGTTGTTTTTTGTTAATATAGCCAGCCTCAACTAGTTTGAGATTGAGCCTAGTTGTTGTTATATAGTTCTTGAAGATGACAAAGAAGTGACATGTCAGCCAAGGATATTGTTGGATTTAAGACGACAGTTATTATTGGAAAAAATTGTTACTTAGTTGAAAATCTAATACTCATTTTAGATTGTCCACAGTATGTCCAGTTTATTAATACAATAAGTCAAATATCTGACCAAAAATAGGCGCGCCTTAAATATTTAAATAACTTTTGTTCATTGTTCTACAAATCTTTGTATTACAGCTCCTGCATAACTTGTTTGTGAAGAAAGGGATCACTCTGTATCAGATCATTAATGCAGGATTGTATTTTTAAGTAATATATGGTGGAGGGATCATTCGTGTTGAGATTGCGTCTGAAGTGGAGTTTGTCTTTTGTCAAAGGAGGGATGAGATAGGTGTTTTTTTTAAAGTGCACAGAGGAAATGAGGAACATGGATATTTAGAATGGGGCTTGTTGTTTCATCAGAGAAAGCTTGGGTTTGTTGCTTGTGCTACTTGTTTGGGAGAGAGAAAGAGTGCTAGTAGCATGCTGGTGAAAAGGGGCAGAGTGTTGCTTGAACCGCCTTGAAGATGCGGGCGATAATGCTCCCTAGGTGGATTGTGGGAGGTGAATGTGCCATTAGGCATAAACATGGAGGTAACAGGATGAGTTGAAGAGTTTGGTGAAAAGTTTTGACGGAAAAGGTCATATTTTTTCATTCCATCAATCATAAAAAAAATATTCTTTATGTGCTTTGAGAAAACACTATCCCATTGACTCCATCTATCGTGAACCAACTGAACATCATTCCTTATGTCAGGTGAACATGAAAAGCGTTTTCAGAGGTCTTACTAGTAAGAGTACGCATTTCTAAAAGTTTAGGAGGAGGTTGTAGGGCTGGTGAATTGAAAAAATAGAAGACGAGTCATATGAACTTACCCTAATGCCTTCCTTTTATAATTTTTGATGGAACTGATCCTGGATTTGCTTTGTCCTCAGCAAGGATCTTGCGTGGCATGAGACTTGCTGCTCGCCTGAAGTTGTCCTTTTCAAAGGAGATTGAAATTGCTATGCACAAACTCTCACCGTCCATAATGATATTGAACAAGGTATGAACAATGAATTCATGTAAACCATTGTTAACTTATTTAATTACCTCTGTTTGTTCTTTTAAGTTTAACCCTCCTAAGGTTTAGCTTTCTCTATGGTATTATGCCTTCTTCTCATTGCCTGACATCCCTGATGCTAAAAAGATTCCTAACCACAATGAAATCTTTCTATATAACTGCTTCTTGGTTTGTAGTTTTTGCCTGCATGGCCTCAATTTTTTCTTATGCAGTCTAGATTAATGATGGAAGTCAACTATATGCTGTCTTATGGAGCTGCAGAGCCTTCTCTTTCTTTACTTCAGAGATACAGCATCCTTGAAATGCTGCTACCATTTCATGTATGTCATATTGTTTCATTTCATTTTGGTATGATGTGACTTCCATGATTTTTTGGTTCAGGACAGTAGCTTATACTTGACTAAATGTGTCATTTACAGGCAGCACACCTTGCTCAACAGTCTAACAAACAGTTGAGTGAAAGTTCTGTTATGTTGATGGTATATCTTCGTATCGTGTATTTTTTTTTACTCCATAAATTTGTATAATTCCTTCTATGTGCTTCCTCACTTATTTGATGTCAACTCTTCCCATATTTGTGTACATATTTTCTCTGGACTGCTTGTTTCCATGCATCCTCCTGAAGTCTAGCTTTTCCCCCCATATGTGAGCTCATGCATGCACTTGTCTGGGCATATTTGTCTTTTTGCCTGATGCATGTTTTTGTTGAGTTTTTAGTAGTGTTTCACACATTAAATTTATTGGTCTGAACATTTTGCAGAAACTATTTTCCAGTTTGGATCAACTAGTTACCTGTGATCGACCTTCTCATGATAGTTTGTGGTAAGTTGAGTTAATTTCTAGCCATTGGTGGAGATAATTTGTGTAAGTTGATATATTGTTGAACTAAGTATCACATCTGGCCTTGTTAACTGATATTTTTTGGTTCTTTTCTTTTGAGATGGGTGCTTTGTTCACCCTTGTAACAATTACTGCAATTACCTTATAGTGTTATTTCATTTCCTTGTGTGTCATGTTCTTCCTAAAGTGAGAGTTTTTGTCTTTGGCTATCATTCTTTTAGTGTTTACTGTCATTTTGAGAGCTGTATTCATATATGAGGTGTTTTTCAATGGTTCTGGACCTCTGTTTCAAACCTCTATTACTTGAGTTCGATCCTGCATGGGGGCAAAAAAAGTTAAATAAATAAAAGTGAATAATATAAACTAAACCCCCTCCCCCCAAACTATCACCATTTTGTGATCTATATACCTAAAGTCCTAAACTACTGAGGTTTAACCTAGCTTGTTCGATCATCATAGCTAATAGCTTTATAGGAGAAGTATTCTTTCTCTTTTGGTCCCGAGTGTTGATGTTTGCAGTAGATATCATTGTTTGGTTAACTGAAGGTTCAGTGCTTTTATAGCTTAGGTTAGAATATTTGGAGTTAACTTTTGATTTCTTTTGTGCTTTGGAGTAAAGTTCTTAACACCCATCTTTGGGATTTTGTTCTCTTGTGGTCGTCTTCTACTACTCTTTCATTCTGATGTAACTTGTAAGTTGTTTTTGGTTTAAGATCTCCCTTGTTTACGGTTTCTCATCAATCAGAGGCCTGCTAGAATGCCACTTGTTTTATAAGCACCGGCAAATGGAAACACCTCTTCCACCTTCTCAGTAAAAAATTGAAACACCTCTTCTGGTTTTGGCAACTTGCATTTCACTTCACATGCCAAGGGAATTCACACTGAATACAATGATGAATGTGGTAAAGAAATAGAAGGAGATTGAAGTTTTGGAGAATAAAAACAACTTTTGTCTTTATACTTTGTGTTCACATTCTGGACCATCTCTGTGGCACATCGTGCTGCCTCTTCCTATATCAAAAGCCTAAGTTGGGATCATCCTTTCTTATGCATCTTAGATTGGTACTTCTACTCTGCTCCTGCATTTAGCATTTAAATTGATAATTAGGAGCATTTGCACATCTCAAATGTTGAAGAACTCATATATGTTCAACACTATTGGGAGTATGATGGTAGATTTAAGCTGGGGGAAGACAATAGCATGGTCCTTATTGTTTTTGTTACCATTTGCATAAAATAGCATGACCATTATTGTGCATTGCTTGATTATAATTTTGAGCTTGGTGCATTTCATGGTTCTATAGTGCATTTTGACTACATCCAGCCATATGAAACCTGGGGAGTCATGTTAATAGTTCACTATCAGCATAGCAGCTCATAAGTCATAATCTGGATTTCTGCAATCAAACTGTCTGCTATTTTTCAGTTCACTGGTGTTATCGCCTTTTGAAAGTCTATTGGATGATTCAGGCTTGAGCTAGTGTTGAGAAATTGGCTTCTAGTGACTACGATTCTTGACAATATTTATCCTTTTTGATTGATGTATGTGAGCAGGGTTGCACTCTTGGCATTTCATCTAGCACTAATCACTGATCCTCAAGGGGCATTTGTCGTCCTGACTTTTGCTTCTGTGTTGTACCATGGAAATTGGAAGGAAGGTGTTAACTTTGCTAGAAGACATTCTGATGCTGCATCTATTTATGCACCTGAAATTTCAGATTCCCAAGGCTCCATATCAGATGATGAGCTTGTGGAAAGAGTTACAGAGCTGGCAGTGCTAGTGCAAAATTCTTTAGACATTTTGACTGATAAGGACAGCCTCCAGGAAGCAATGTCCAAGTTCCCAGGTTCCCCATGCTCTGGTTTGGTAAGTAAGCTTACTTCGGTTTCTTGGCTCCATATCAAGGCACACGAATGGAAAGAAACCACCTAGTTTTTTTTAACTCCACTGAGAGTTGAACTCATGTGGTCCTTGTCTAACGAACAACGACTTTCGATTCTTCACTTCAAGGAGTAGAGTTGCTGCCCAACCCTACCTATAAAAGAAAAAGCATTGACCACTAGGTCCAGTTCAATTCTACCTTCTTTTCATTATCCAACGCTCATGCGTCCCCCTTTCTCCCACTCTTTCAAAGCTTTCAATGAAGCCTTCTTAGCTCTTGGGTGCTTGCTATTCCATATTACATTTGGTCATAATGTAATGGTAGGATCGCAGATTGCAGATCTGCAGGTGGTCTGGTTGGATGACTTATCCAGAGATAAAGTCGAAGCAGTTTGCCTTATCTTCCACAATACCTCATTTGTTTATACCTTGACATTAATACGTTTATAACCTCTTTGAAGCTGGTGCATTGCACTGCAAAAGTGCGCTTACCATGATTTAAACCCCCTGCTGCTTACATAGGATCTGAAGTAGTATTGACTGATCAGACCATCTTTTGGTTTAGCAAACTAGTTTTCCATATTCACAGGGAGCAGATTATCCACGGTTTTCTATCCCTCTCATCTAAGGGGTAGTCCATCACAGGGAATCTCCAAGCCCCGAGCTTCGTATAAATTCCAAAAAGGTGACATGTTGAGAAAGGTGGAGTCATAATATTTCCTGCAATTAAGACGACTTCATATTTCCCACTCTTGTCGAAGAGTGTTCTTTATTTGGTTACATTTTCAACGTATGCCTTTCATTCAACTTTTCTAGGTATTTCGGACGAGTTACACTTGGAATAAACTTCACACTCTCTCCACATCTAAAAGGCCTCATTATATTCATCGGGAAATCACCTCAGCTTTTACATTGAAGAGATGGTGATTTAGTAGAAGCTCCTCCTCTGCCAACAGTATCCCTATTTAGTCATGATTCTTCGTGCTTTGAATAAAGTAGAACAACAGCAGTGTCTAAAAATTGTCAATTTCTTGGTGAAGTGTTCATAGTTTTTAAAGCCTGTAGTGGTGATTGCTCTATTATTATTGTAGACATTGATTGACTATTTAATGAGAAATTTTATATTCAGGTGTTTGTATCTAAGAACATGAGGAAGGTCGTTGAAGTAATTTTTGACGTTCTGATAGGAGATGTGAGATCTCTCAAAACCAGGAGGAATAGTTTTGAGATAGATTATACTCTGCTTGGGAAAGGACAAACGCGTGAGACAAGGTTTGTTCTCGGTAAAGTCATCCTTGATACGATAGCTCCTGGGGTCATTCCCGGCAGTGAAGTGATGAAACATACCCTGGTTAAAGTTGATGCTCAATTGAGTAAAAATGCTCCGAAGGAAAATATGGATGGAAATGTGAAGCTCAAGAAAAGGAAGTTCGCGTGTGAAGATGATAATCAGCCCAATGCAAGTTCTGAAATTAAACATAATAGAGATGAGAAGCTGAACACGGTTATTGCCAAGCAATCCAAGGAGAAGGCTGTTGAGAAGCATGATAATGAATCTCTTAGTCAGAAACTGGATAACGGGGATGCAGTAACTAAGAAAAAAAGTAAGGGTGAGCAGAGTGAATTGCCACAGAATGGAACAAGAATGGTGCTTGAAGCAATGAAGCATCCAGTGCCGTCTCACAAAAAAGAGCAAAAGGGAGGCAATAAATATCAGCAGACTTCGGCAAACCATTTGAAACTTATACACAATGTTGACAATGGTGCGACTACCAAGCAGCACAAGCTGAAAGAGAAGCGTGATTCCTCACAAGAACAGAAGGAGGAAAAGAGTGAGTCGTTACATAGCAGAAAACATGATTTGAAGGGAGGTAAGTTGGCTTCGGATGAGAAGAGTAAACCAAAAGCTGGAAACCAAACACTTTCAGATCTTTTCAGGAGGTGAGTTTAACTGTATCTTGTAAAATCATATCCTCTCCTCTTCAAAAAAGGAGCAAGAGCTGTGTCTTACCATGTTTACCGCCCCCCCCCCCCCCCCCCCCCCCCCCACACCCCCACCCTTTTACACACACACACACACACTTTTTTTTTTTAACCATAGGAGTGTCTAGATCTCATGTACATGGCAATAGAATGTGCCATAACTGCCATATTTTGACTGTGACATGGTATTATTACTCCATTACATATCAATTGGTAGGCTTCAATTTTAGTAGTAGTTTCATTTTCATGTTTGAAGTACTCTTCTCTCTCTTCTTGTCATTCATTTCATGGTAAGCTGTCTTCAATGTTTCATTTTATCCCCCTCTTATCATTATAATTTTTACTTTCTCTGTCCAACAATAATAGCTGTCTACTATTGACTTTGTACACTTCATAAAAAATTATAAATAGAAGGGTAATTTTACTATATCACCCTTTGAATATAATAAATACAATGTTTTGAATAATGTAATAGGGAAATGACTATAAGTGTAAAATTATCTAATGATTTCATATAGTGGATGAGTATTGTTGGATATCTCAAAATAGTGAATAACTATTGTTGGACGGAGGCTAGTAGAATAAATGTTCACGTGCCTTTAACAGATTACAAAATTGGACACATGGTCCTTAATGTCTCAGACTGTGTCAGTACCTATTCCCCACTTTTTTTTTTCAAATTTTCCAATGTAAGGAATAACTATCGGAGAAAATGTTTTTAAGAATTTGGCTCTTAGAGTTAATGAAGACAACTAGATGATAGGTGAGGATTACATTTTGAAAAGAAAAAAAAGAAGAGGAAAAGTACAATTGAGACCATGAAAAGGATTCACATCTCACTGAAAATAATGGAAGCGGAAGGAAGTTTCTCACTTGGATCAAGTATTTCTTTTGAGTTTGAGTTTTGAATATGAAATAGAAAGCGCATTACTCTAAAGTTGAACTTTTTGAAAATCGCGATGTCTCATTAGGGTATGAAGTAACTTTTGAATTTTGATAGAACATTATACTCTAAAGTGAAACTTCTCGACACAAATTCAAATTAGTTAAATTCTTAACTTAGATATCAAATATCGAGCGAGAAATATTTTTTTTTTAAAAAAAAAAAGAAGAAAGGAAGTTTCCCCATTCTCAGGTATAAAATTATTGGATTATAACTTTAATTCAATCCTGCAGAGGAGATAACACTTTAAAAATTGACATTATAAAGCATGTCGGAACATGCCTGCTACACTAATTATATGCACACATATAAGACAGTAACTAATGTATAGTAAATTTCATAAATCACTTGCAGACCAAAAGGCACACAGTGATTTTGCTAAGAGGATTTTAAATTTTCTCGCTAAAAGGATTTTTTCTTAAACTAATACAATCGACGGTAGTACAAAAAGTTTATGGCTTTCCGTTTATGAACCTCCATATTTATGCTCATAAACCCATTTTACTTTTTCCGATCCATTTTAATTTTCGTATTTATTAAAAATAACTGTTATTTTAAAAAATTAAGATATAACTAATTATTTATTTCCATCTTCACTACTTCTCAATAAATGGAGAGAGATTAAAGTGTTGTAAAAGAGAATAGCGTTAAATTGAAATTAAAGAGTAAATATTGTTCTTTTAGAGTTTTAGTTAATATTTTTTTAAGAGACGGTGTAAGAAAAAATATGACATGCAAAATAGATAGTGAAAATAATAATTAATTTTTTTCAGTGTATGTTAATTAAGAAACGCCTGAGAGAGAGAGACTTCTTTCATGTTTGTTTTGTAATACCAGTAGTAAATATTATCCTTGTATGTAGATTGAAATGGAAAAATCTTTTTCGCCACAATATTTGGCCAGAATGATATTTTATATTTTTAAATATTTTTACCTTTTTAACTTTAATATCTTTTAATTAAAAAATGAAAAAAAGATCAGTTTATTTTAAAATAAAAAAATATTATAGTTTTTTAATTTTCTGGCAAAATTCTTGCCAAATTTTCTGGCAAATTCTGACCAAATTTTCTGGCCATTTAGCACTTCCCGATTGAAATATTAAAATTATATCTTGTTAAAAAGGCAATGTCATAAACCTTGCCTTAAAATACTCTTTGTGCTACAGCCTACACAATTAATGCAAAAACTTTTGCAATATCTAACTGATAAGATTAAGGGGAAAAACTACTCGTTTATAACATATGAATTTTATTTTCTCCTTTACTGTTAAATCAATTATAAAAGTTAAAACTAGGAATTTGAATTTCGAATTAAGAATTGGTAAAGCTAGTATTTGTAAATTCTAGCAATTTATATTTTATAGTGTATCTACTGTATTGATTTTTCAATTAATGCTTAGCAATTCAAATTTATTTTCTTAATCACTATTTGGAGAGTCAAATAGTATCTGTTTGACCATAATATTTTCTAAGTATTTTCAATTATTAATTATTCTAACCAATACTCTTTATATTATTTCTAAATATGTATTTTTTTTTTATAAAAATCTTTTGTCCGAATTTACATTAAAAATTAGTAACTTTGATCCTCATACTTCGAATCAAATCAAACAAATTGAGTATTAACTAATGAATTCTTTTTTTTAAAATAAAAAATTGTCTTCTATCTGTGCATGCATGGCTTGACCTTATAATTCCGTAGCTACGTTATTCGACTTCTTTAATATTCCTAAATTTTGCAATCAAGGTTGCAAATCTATTTAACTTCATGATAATCAACTATCAATGTTAACATTTGTGTGTGATTAAATCTAGTTTCAAAATTAAATCTTACAGATAAACGAGTAATCTATTTTATCTCAATTAAATTTACAAGCCAACTTCAATAACGTTAACATGGTTCAAGTCAATGTGAAAAATAATTTGACATTATTTAACTTTGTGGTGTAACAATTGTAATGGGTTGTCACATTTAATAAAGTTAATATCAGTTATGAACCATATTGTCATAAATTTAACGGATATTTTGTAACAGGTCTCTGAAGTACTTAGAAAATATTTTCCATTAGGTTATTCAATTTTAAATATTGTATATCAAGCATGGTTGAATTAATGCACTTGTCTTTAGTAAGTGTTTGTTGTGTAATTTATTTAATGTCATACAATTATCTCATTTAAAAGTTATTCTGATAAATTTATAATTACGTTGTCATAAAATTCTAGATTTTGTATGAAGAAATTCATTATATACCTATCAAACATGATTCAAAACTATTTGTTACGTAATTCATTCAATGCCATAATAATTGTACATAGGGTTGTTTTATTTTAAAGTTACACGAATTTATAATTACGTTATCATAAATTTCTAGATAATAACATATTGTACATAATCAAGATTGAAATTATAAATACATTTTAATGAGTCATTGATTAATTACGTACGAACGACAAAACCTAACTAGTCTTTCGTAAGTCAATAATTATATGCAATTCATCCAATGCATAAGTGTTATAAGTACATATTATTATACATAATTAAGATTGAAATTCTAAATTCATTTTGACGAATCATTCTTATTATGTACGAACAGCAAAAATTAGTTAACTAACCAATAATAAGTAATAAACACACTTTTAATAACGTTAATGCGTTTGTCTTTAGTAAGTCTCATGTGCAATCATCAAAAGCAGTAATAATTGTATCATGTATAATAGGGTTTTCTTATCTATAAGTAGTTCTCTGAGTTTATAATTTGGTTGTCATAAATTACTAGATAACGTATTACACATAATTAAGATTGAAATAACAAATACATCTCAACGAATTACTAAGTGCCTACGAACAACAAAGATTAACTAGCTCCCACTATTCATTTTTACTTATCTAGTTTAAAAAAATTAAGAGATAATTTATCACTTAATTCCTAATTTACCCCTGTTCTTAACTAAAGTCATTTTCAAAATATTAAACGTATTATCTTTAAAGGATGATATAATACATATAATGATATAATTATCATTTTATTTATCACTTTATTTTTTAGAAATGTGTCAAATTAATACTGAACATTAATTAAAAATGGACGGATAAAGTAATTAACTAATCATAAGTAACATGCACATTTTCAACTAACACTAAAACATAGACAAATGAAGGAAAAGGGTACAAGTCATTTCACACACAAAATTTAGTGCAATATTAGTTCATATTTTGTCACATTCCACAAAAAGTTTCATCATATTTTCTTGAAACTATATTAGTAAGAGGAGCCAAAATAAGTGGAGCCCTATTCCCAAAAAGCCCAAAAATGTAAAAGTGGGCAAGAGCGTATAGAATGGGTCTTCTAAAAGTGCAAATCTCAATAAGTTAGATATTATTAAATGAGTTCAACATTTAATTATAGTAAGTTAATTAAGATTATACCACTATTACACTACTACTAACTAATTTCTTACACTAATTTGAAAGCAACGTCTACTTGTCATAACAAATCAGCTTTTAGGTGACCGTTGTTACCTAGCTGGACTGTAAAAGTCATGCTTAATTGAATCCAACGGCCCTTTTTTTTTTTACTAGCCGTTTCATTTGAATATAAGAATGAGATTTTGTCTATCTGTGTTGTGTTTTTTCTGATATTTTTAACCAGACACATTCCCATTTTTTTCTCATTCTCCATCTTTCTTCCCCCTCTTTCCATTTGTTTAACTTTTTGTTCACAACTCTCTTGTTTCTTCATTGGTTCTTCTTAATCAAGATTGATCAAGATTCAATCTTGGTGGAGGGTAACTGAAAAAGAGAGTTAAAGATTCAATTTTTTTCCATTCTTGATTTGGGTTTTTTCAGTAATCAAGATTGATCAAGATTCAATCTTGGAGAGGGTTAAAGATTCTAGTTTTTTTTTTCATTCTTGAGTTGGGGTTTTTCAGTTATCAAGATTGATAAAGATTCAATCTTGGTGGAGGGTAACTGAAGAAGAAGGTTAAAAATTGTATTTTTTTTTTCATTCTTGATTTGGGGGTTTTAGTAATCAAGAAAAAGAAATGGCAATCACTGATGAGAACAAACCTGCCTTGATTAAGCCATCTGCTGTTCAAGGTATAAAATCCTGTTGTTTTTTTTTATGTGTTAAGTTGCTAGTTTGTGATAAGTGAGTTTCTGATTTGTTTTTTCTCTTGTCATTGTGAAGTGAAAGGTGGGGCTGAAATGGCTACCAGAAAGGTTGTTGGAGTGGAAACAAGAAGCAACCGAAGGGTTTTGGGCGCGATTAATCAGAATTTAGTGGGTGGTCAGGGATATCCTTGTGTTGTTAACAAGAGAGGATTATCTGAGTAATTAATCTTCAGCTTTAATCTTTTAGATTAGAATCTTTGACCATTTGTTGAGTCTTTATCATTTTTTGTTACTAGTTCTTTAGCTCATTTTGGTGATTTTCTTGTTTTTCTCAGTGAAAATGGAATCTGTGACAAGAATCTTCCTGTTCATGGTCATCGACCCATCACGAGGTTAGACATTAAAAAATATTAGAATGTTGCTCCATATTTGTTTTTTGCCCCACTCGTGGGATTACATTGAGTATGTTGTTGTTGTTCCATCTTTGTTTTGCTTATTTTGAATTTGCATTTGATGTTCAATAAACTGATACTTATATAACTTAATTTGTCAATGAAGGAAATATGCAGCACAAATTGCTAGCTCCCAGAAGCACAGCTCAGAGGTACAAGCTTTTAATGAATTGGACTTTACCTTTGTTGATCGCTCAGATATATAGTTTATAAATTTTTATAAATAACTTTGGGACATTAATAATCTTCGATTTTTTTGAACAGGAAAACAAGAAACCTAAGATAGCAGCTGAAAGTTTCAGTGTCTGGGAGGATGATATGGAGGAGAATGAGGCAGCTAATGATAAGCCTGTCCCTATGTCTTTGGAGCAAACTGAAAAAGTGTCAAAGGGCAAGGATCAAATGGTAACAAAAATAATCCTGTCTTAGTTTATTAATGTATATGTTTTTAATTTAATGAGCTGATCATTATATTTTGGGAAATTATGCAAACTACATCAATTAAAGACATCATTAATTATTCAGGAGGTTGAAATGGAGGATATCTTTGAGGAGGCTGTAATAGATATCGACGGTGATGATGCAAAGAACCATCTTGCAGCTGTTGAATATGTGGGAGATTTGTTTGCTAACTACAGAACAATGGAGGTTAGTTTAGCTCAGTAACTTACTAGTTAACAGTTGCATAGATCCTTAATTCATAAGATTTTTCTGCTTAATTAAATGTTTATAGCTTTTTCTGATGTGAGTTTCACTTGTTAGTAAGGTATGATACATTTGAATGTCCACCAATTTTTAAAAATCACTAGTTATCCAACATATCACACCTTTTTACACTGTTTATACAACTTTACTAGGATAGATCCTATAGTTGCTTTTATTTATTTCAAATGGTAGCATCTATGTTTATGAGTTGAAGCTCGTCAATGTATGTGTTTGGGAATGATTAAATCATTGTCCATTATATTCAGGTTTATAGCTGTGCTTCTCCAAACTATATGGCACAACAGGTTGACATCAACGAGAGAATGCGATCTATCTTGATTGACTGGCTAATTGAGGTAAAGTAAATGTTCCCTCTTCTAAGTTGATAAATTTCTTCAAAGTATAGCAATTAATACTTGCTCATTCTGATCAACAGGTGCATCACAAGTTTGAGCTCAGGGAAGAGACGTTGTTCCTGACAGTCAATTTGATTGACCGGTTCTTGGAGAAGCAAGGTATTGTTAGAAAGAAGCTTCAGCTTGTTGGATTAGTTGCAATGCTACTAGCATGCAAGTATGAGGAGGTTTGTGCTCCACTGGTGGAGGATCTGGTGTTAATTTCGGACAAAGCCTATACAAGGAAGGAGGTTCTTGAAATGGTAAATTCTGGTCTCTCATAATAGCTGTAATTAGTATACTTTGCTCTACATTTAGTATATAACTAAAGGCGTTGTTTTTTTCCATATCATGCAGGAAAACATGATGCTCAACACACTGCAGTTTAATATGTCAGTCCCAACTGCATATGTATTTATGCGAAGATATCTCAAGGCTGCTCAATGTGATAGGAAGGTTAGTTAGTAGTTGATAGTTCTGAATGTACTATACTTGTTTTTACATGTAATGAACACATTATTGATATTTCTCCAACTTTTACTCATGGCTTTAAACAGCTTGAGCTGCTGTCTTTCATGTTGGTTGAGCTTTGCCTTGTGGAGTATGAAATGCTCAAATTTCCACCATCCTTCATAGCTGCTGCAGCAATCTATACAGCTCAGACCACACTCTACGGTGTCCAGCAGTGGAGCAAGACGTGCGAGGTGCACACAACTTACTCAGAAGATCAACTTCTGTAAGTCTACAAACTCCAATCTTCCAACTCAACACCTTGCTCTTCTTATTTAATTACTTATTTCTTTCTTTTTCTTGCTGTTTAGGGAGTGCTCGAGATCGATTGTTGGCTACCACCAGAAGGCAGCAACAGGGAAACTAACAGGGGTACATAGGAAATACAGCATATCGAAATTTGGTTATTCAGCCAAGTGTGAGCCTGCCCATTTTCTTGTGCAGCAGACACAACAATAGAGGAGAAAAGAGGGGCATGTACAGTTATTACTAACTTTATATGCAATTGGGGGATATATTGGGGTAATGGAGAATTTATAGGAAAAAAGATAACTTAGCAACTGTGGTTGCCCCGGGGAATTTCATTATTTCTTTTTATAGAGTTCATTGTTGTTGCACTTTTACTATGTTCAACATTTGAACATGCCTGGATTTTCAGTTTCAGTTACAGTTTTTCATTTACAAACAGAAATAAAAAGTCAAAACTTTTCACAATTTTCTCAGAGTGGTTTTTGCTTATTGAGTTGGTTATTTATTGAATTTGCTTTGTGCTCTCTTGGGTTTTTTCATCAAGATTGTGAAGAAGTTGTAAGTACTCATTCCTTCATTCTTAATCAAAGGTCTCGGGTTAGAGTCCCTCACCTTTGTTAGAAAGCATTTTACCCTCAATGTGAGACTTTTCAGCATAAATTCGGATTTAGTCGGACTCCAATATGAATACCGAACTTCAAGTGTGACAAACCAAAAAAGACTAGGAATTGCTGTTTTCATAAGGGGGCGGGCGTCCATTTGTGGGCTGATATTAAAGTCCAACAATCTTAATGGGCGTCTATTTGTGGGTTGTGATGCCTGTCAAATACTTGGGAGGACAAGTATTTTGGTCAAGTATATTCTAAAAAGAAAAGGAGACCAAATGTCTTCTTCTTTTTTTTCCATCCTGTATCCAACCGACTAAATTCAGATAACCATTAGAGAGGATGACGCTTTCAATATAATTTTCTCCATATTTGAAGCTTGAATCCGAAATCATTGATTAAAAGGTGAAGCAGTCTCATCACTAATAACTCAGGTAGCAGAAATGTTAAAAGCACGCACAATTCGCTTCTCTTCTCTCTCCATTCCATTTTCTAACCATATACTAATTTATTTTTTTAATTCCCACCATTTCATTTATACTTTGGTTCATTTTTGTATTTACTTGTTCAATCTAACAAATCAATAGAACTTTATTATTTTCCCTCATACGTCACTTATAAAGATAGTTTAATAAAAGTTTTACTATTAATATACTGCTCCTTGACTTAATGTGCCTCGCCACCAAGATTATACTTGACACCATTCACCAACCTCACTGATTTATTTTTTTAATTTAAGAAAGCACCTAGCTTCTAACATGAATAAAAAATAATAAAAATATCCTTATTTTCTCTTATAGTTCTATAAAAAAAATTAAAATTGAAATAAATTTTTTATTCAAATTTATCTAGTGTAAAAGAATCCATGTCATATATTATATCTCGTATTGCCACAAAAATATAATCCTAGGTACGATTTGACCTAATATGCCAAATACATGGACACCAAACACATTTTCTTGTCATAATAGCACGACACTACTTCATAGTAAAAAAAATTCGTATAATCAATTAGTACATATTAACACATAATTTAGATTGCATTCACGTAATAAAGAAGTGTTCACTGAAAATTGGTCCCTACTTTTGTTACCAACCTCACTAATAAGACTATTTAAGTATTCCACCTACTTTTGCCAACATGGCTGGTAGTATAATAGTGAGATTGTTCCATTATTAATCAAAATTTTGAATTTAAGCGTGTAATTTAGATTTTATTGAAACTCCAATACAAATAACGAACATAAAATAATCTATAAAAAAAAAAGTATTTCACCTACCTTTTGGGGCCCTCCAGTTACTTATCCTCTTAACATGATGCATTAAAATGGGTAGTGAAAAGGGTTAAAGTGACCTTTTCAAATTCGGCTGCCGTTTTAAATTTCATATTTTAGTTTCGAAAATAGTCTATATATACATTTGTTATACTCTCTCCGTTTCATATTATTTATCTACATTATTAAAAAAAGTTTTTTCTTAAATTATTTATCAATTTACAAAATCAAAATAGAATAAATGTAGTTTTCCCCTTTTTATTGTTAAATTATTTTAAAATATATATAAATATTACTATAAAATTTCAAAAAATTCCTCCATTCTTAATCTTGATAAACAAGGCATATAATTTTTTAAGAAATGTATCATAAAGTAAATAAGTAAATGACATTGTTTTTTTTGGGGGGTTGG